AGTGACCGCCTCTGCCGTAGCGAACAAACGCTGTCCAAGGAATTTCGAATAGCTTGAAGGCACCTGGTAGATCACTCGGAAAGCCTCTTTGGCCTCCACGCGATGGTCTGAGTCTACCAGGTGCCCATAGAGTGTAACTGTTTATACCCTTGAGTTGGCCCTTCCCTAAACATGCTGGAATGTGCTCTCTTTCTCTTTTGGACAAACGCCGGCTCGTGCGACCAATATATCCTGCTCCACAGGAACACGTTAATGAATATATGCACATAGAGGTGGTCTGGGCTCGCGGTTTATCCCTGATCTCTCCGTATAGGATGGGAGTAGTCGAGAACAATACATAAGCGTTCGCTGCTTGGAAGTTAGTTGCTACGGCTTGACTCAGGCGCATCCTTAGAAGTTCGCTTGGTCCGTCCCCTTGAAATGGGATCCTGATAAATATTCGTTTCTTCTCTACTGTTAATACTAAGGGTTTTGGCGGTCTTTTGGCCATGTTTTTAGCGATAAATCGACTGGGATACCCATTTCGTCGAAAACAAACGTATGTTCGCCAATTTATCTTCTGAAATTTTCAGTGGGGATTTTCGCAAATTTAGAATACGATTTGTGTGAATCCCTTCTACTGACTTCATCGCTACTTGGATTGGTCACTCAGTGATTTTGCTATTATCCTCTGCATCGTACTAGGCACTTACTGCTTTACGAGCATTATGTATCACAATAATCTTATTTATTTATCTTGAATCACGCCAAAATGAACCGCTGAATATTAAAGAAGCCCAAAACAGGGCTATATAGGCACGTAGAATCTCTATTCTAGAATTCTCCTCTCAACTGGAAACGAATGGGAGTCCCGTGAAAATAGGTAATTATAAGGTCGAAGTCTATAAAATTAATGGCTATTAATGAACCATACAGATCTTATCCTCATCATCCTGATATTACTATTCCCGCGTTCTCTTGCTCGATGTTATTTTCATTGCTCGATAAGCTCCTGTTTTCTTTTAGTATTCCTTTTTGTATACGCTTAGCATACATTTTTGTACATTACCTGACGAACTCTGTACGCGTACGCAGTACTACATAAAGAACTAATATTGCAGGGGGTTAAATAAGTTAAACCCTAGCAACCGCCATCTTCAGACCATGGTTCCTTAGTAGAGAAGAAGTCAGTGGAGGCTAGAGTAGAAGGAATAGTTTATTGTGTACACAGAGGAACGAAGAATAAGCAGGAAGAAGATTGGCTACGGAGATCACGACCATCCGCTAGAACGGCGTGATCCGAAGTGCGGGCATAGTTACAAGGACCCAGAGCGAGCATTTGGTGAGTTAGCTTTAGGCTGCTGATTGGCCCTACCATTCTGGGGTGCGCGCTTGCACCCCAGCCGCTCGAGGGCAAAGGTTACG